TTGGCACTGCCAGCTGCAAGGTAGGATCGCAGCAGGTGCTAGGCCTGGGGGGAGGGCGGTGCTGTGGACATCAGCATGGCGAGGGCACTGGACACCCCCGTCTGAATGCAGAAGAGGTGTTGAGCGGTCGTCATCGTGAATGACCTTCCCCACTGCCACCTGATGCCATTCCTGCCTCTTACCCTCACCAACCGACCGCAGGTCCCCAGGCTCTCAGGGGAAGAGGTCTCAGTCCTCCTGAAGCCGAAACAGGCCATGCAGCTCAGGACGAGAGCCCAGGGGTCAGACAGATCCAGGTTCGGCCTGGCTCTGCTCCTTTGCCAGCTCTGGAATGGCGGGCAAGTCCCCTCATTTGTCCTGCTGGGCCCGACCCCTCACCTGTGTAATGGGCCCAGTGTGAGGGTGACCCACAGTGGAGACAGGCCGGTGTCCTGTCTGTGCTCAGTTCTTAGCTTGCTGCCTGCCCCCAGGGGCCTTCAGTCCTGTCTGTGGAATCCGAGCCCTGCAGGGTGCTCGCCCAGCCCCTGGGGCTCCTGCCTCCTCGGGCCGCCCAGATGTGGGGTCTTTGGAGACCAAAGGCGCTGACAGGGCTGCTAGGGAGACGGGAAGTCCTGTGCCGCTGCCTCCTGTCAAGGCTGCTGCCGTGCCTGCCAGCAGACCAGATCCACTGAGTGGGTGGCCCAGGAAGGTCAGCTGATGCCTCCTTTGGGGGACGCAGAGAGGCGGTCCCATCACAGATGCTCTCCCACTCCAGCTCCCCATCCTTCTACCACACTTCGGGGGTGTGAGGGCTCTTCGGTCTCACCAGCTACCCAGCTGTAAGCGGGCAGTGGGGGGCGATGGCCAGATCTGCGGCGGGGGAGAGGGAGGGAGGTTGGACTGCGGGAGCTTCGGAGGCTGGACCGGACTGGCGAAGCAGCTGGGGTGCCCCGCAGGGCCCAGCCAGTGTCTTCTCTTCCCATCCACACCCTCACACACACCAGTTTCTCTTCGAGGAGGGAAGAGGCTGCTTCCTCTTTTGTCTTGGACCAGTTTGAGCTATACAGCTCTTACGGGTATCCAGAAAGATCACCCCATCCTGGACCCCAAGAAGGGCAGCTGGGAAGAGCAGGAGGCAGCCCGTTTCAGAGAGCAAACGGGACTAGAGACAAGGGTGTCAGGAACTGGGGACAGTGGCACCTTCGTCCCTGACCCCTTCACTCAATGTCATGATGGGGCTCAGCATCACACCTGGAGAAAGTTGCCACCAGCAGCTCCTGGGCACTGACCGCGCTCAAGGCTTCCTTGTTGTCTGGGCAGAGCCGCAGCAGCATCTGGCCTGGGGTTGGGGGAGATGGCGAGGGCGGGGGGGGGGGGGACACACTCTTCTCCCCACCACTCCCTGGAAACCCAGAGATGCCCACTGGGAGCTCCCAGCCCCACACACTCACAGTCCCTACGGTCCTGGCCGAGGCTGGGCAGACCCTCGGCAACCAAGAAGCGGGGATGAAGTCACCGGACAGTCGTGCCACTCGCAGCCACTGCGGCAGCGACCCCTGTGCGGGGAGCCATGTGCACTTTGGGGGCCGGGCGCACAGGAAGATACATCAAGAGGGCACTTGACAAACATTTATTGAGCACCTACGATGTGCCAGGCCCCAAGCAGGCTCCTAGGAAAACAAGGTCAACGCTGCCTGCTCCTTGCGAGAAAGGAGCTCACAGTCTAGTGGGCTGGCCATCGATCACATGAACAGCAGCGAAGGGGCATTGGACGTCACGATTTTACAGAGCACTTGAGACATTTTCTCAATTGTCAACACCCCACGCGACACAGCCACAGTGAGTTAAAAGCACATTGGCATCAGTGTAAACACAGTTACACGATTGCAAGGACGGAAAGACATCACCTGCGATGACTCACATTTGTTATTTCAAAGCCCAATGGGCAGCATTAGTTACTAGTTATTCCTTCCTGTTAGTGGGACGGAAGTTCTACCCATTTGCAGAAACGGGTGGAGACACAGGGGAGCTGCGGGGCCCACCTGTCACACACTGGGTAAGCCACCCCACACACGACGTCTACTGCCTGTTCTCCACCAGCCACGCCCATGCCTTTTAATCCCCACTAGGGCCCCACATCCTCTTGCTCCTTCTCCCAAGCTGGTCAGATGGGGAGACGGGACCACGTCCCAGGAAGCAAACCCACGGAGATCGCCCACACCTGGCCCACACCAGCTCAGAGAAGCACACAGCACGGTGTAGTGGGCTCATACCCAGATACTCCTGGAGTTAAAGAGGAGCTTTCTGGTTAATCTCAAAACCTGGCTGGGTCAGTGTGGTGGGCTCCCTTCTCCCCGGATGCACAGAATTTATCAGGAGACGTGAAGTCGCCCAGAGCAGGGACCGGACTACCCCAATGCTCCAAGTGCCTCTGGATTCTAAATGCGACAGTGGGGTCTGGGGTCTGACAGGGAGCTCCCCGTTCCCTTCTCACAATGAGAGAGAAACAAAATCCCACAGAGATCTGGGCTGTGACACTGGTTTAGAGGGTAAGGGGTCTGGTGAAGAAACCCAAAGTGGGCCACCTCTCGGTCCAGGGAACGGGGCAAAGGAGGGCATCTAATGAAGCCAAGGAGAGGGCGGCTTGGAACAGGGTGCCAGGTGCCCACCTCCTCATCCGGGGGCCAGGAACGGGAGGCAGGCCACCCCCTGCAGGCTGGCCACAAACATTTCAGCTTAGAAGGGTCAGCAACTAGGGTGGGCATGGCGTCCCCCCACAACGGTCTCTCTTGCACAGAGATGTAACAAGGGAGTCAGAAGGTCCAAAATGTTAAAGAAGAGGTGTTTGTGACCCCATTTCAAGGCCATGGGGAAGGGCCGAGGTGTCGCCCTGTGACTGGCACTGACTGGGCCCCGGTCCTCCAGCCAATGATGCCCTGCCGCCTGGCCCTGGTCTGCCTTCCCACCCCTGAAAGTCGCTGCGGGAGACTAGATATCCTGTTAGCAAATCCCTTCCCCCAATGATGGCCCAGACGGAACGCTCTTAATAAAAAAAAATAATTTATTGTCAACAAAGGAGATATATACAACAGGAAAATAGGTGAAAAGGAGGGAGTGAGTGAACAAAATCCCCAGGTGGGCTGCTCGGGCCTCCTGCAGGGATGGAGCGGGAAGAGGTAATGGAGGCCTCCTGGTTTAGGAGCCTGAACAGGTGGGGGAGGAGAGGCGTCCCCCGAGGTAGTGGGACTCAGTTCAAACCCCATCGTGACCACCTCTTGTGTAAGGCACTGTGCCAAGGGAGAATGGTGGGGGGTTAAGAGGGGGAAAGGAGGGGGGACAGAGAGGTCAGGGTCAGCGAAAGGGTGGGGGTAGGTGTTCTCCACAGGCCCAATGCCGTACCGCACGACAGCCCTGAGGCCGGCCTTGCCCATTTCAGGGCCTGGCCTTGCGCCTTGCCAGGGGTAGACACCTTCCATTGCCCCCAAGTAGCAGTAAATGCTGCCCCCCCGCCCCGTCCTCTCCTCCATCCTGCCTTGGCACCTGGTTTAAGTCTCTCCATCAGGTGGCCAAGCTGGGCAGCTCTGAGTGATAAGCCAAAGGGGGACCCTGCCTCCTCCCTCCCTCCCTCCCCGGGAAAGCGAGAGCCTACACACCACCCCCTGCCTCTGGCTGGCCCCCCACAGTGGTGCTGGAGTCTGACAGAACCGCCGGCCAGTTTGGGGTGTCACCTGCTCCCACACTCTTGGCGCCTTGTGGGTGCTTGGACCAGTCTTGCAGGAGGCTGACTGCCGGGGGCTCCTCCATCCGTACACGGATAACCTGCAGATCCAGTGTCCCACGGAGCCCCGGAGGGGGAGCTGGCCAGGGATGGGAGCAGAGAGCAGAAGTCAGGGCCCTCCGGACCCCCACTGCAAGGATGCCCCCCAAAGTCCTCTGCAAACTGCACCTCCACTCCCAGGCCTTCACTTCCACAGTCCAGGGCCTGGTATGAGGGGGGCCCAAGGCAGGAATACGCTCTCCTGGTTCATCTGAGGACCATGACCAACCAGAAGATGAGGTCACAGGCTCTCAGGCTAAGTCAGACACAGCCCGTGGGCTTCCTCCCCGACTTACTTTGGTGCACGGATGCTCAGTGTGTCTACTCGCCTTGGCTCCTCCCTTCAGCTCACTCTGCTTCATCTAAAACTTCCTGGGTGCCCTAGCCTGAGGGCTTCTGCTCTGTGTGGGCACGGGGTGGGTGTGGGGAACCCCCCACCCGAGTAAGATGCAGCTGTGCCCGCCATGGGGCTCACGGACAGATCCGGAGGCTAGGGCGAGAGCCCCGCATGGCCTGCCCTGGGTTAGCATCCCAGTTCTGCTCCGAGAGCTTCCCTGGGCTCTTCCCTCCCATCAGGACCCACGCCACGGGGATCAGACGTCTGCCTCAGCAGTGCGGAGCAGCTGCTCTGAAAAGGCAAAACTGGGCCTTAGAGGAGAGAGCAGACTCCCCATGGCTTTCAAGCAGCCACAAAAAATGTCCCCCACCACACGGGCACGTGCTGAAGTACTTCACATCGAAAAGCAAAACCGAACACGGCGACTGCGACTGTCGGGATGTCTGTTTTGAGAAGGATCCACTTGTGGCATTTGGCCTACACTGTCTTTAGAGACGCGGTCTAACAGATGGCTGGGAAACTGGGCACAGCTTTGCTCTACAGTTTGCTGACATTCCAAACTCCGTACCAGAGGCCATCGCCAAATTCTGCTCTGTATCTGGGTAAGTCGGTCTGTGTCTGACAACTCAAAGCTCCGTGAGGACAGGCTGGATCCCAAGTTTAACAGCAAGTCAGTGGGCACCCAGCCTGTGCCCAGCACGGCTCGGACCACTGGGGGGCCAGCAGCGCAGGGAGCAGACCACGTGGCCCTCCTGGAACTTCTGATCCCGCGGCGGGAGCGATACAATCAATGAACGCTAGATGCGATGTGCTCCGTTCGGACGGAAAAAGGGAAGCAAGATACACCAGGGAAGGGGACAGGCTAGGGTGGAGGGCCTCGTGGAGCGGGTAGGTGAGCAAAGATGTACAGAGAGAGTCCGCTACGCGGGTGGCCAGGGGAACAGCATTCCAGCCAGAAGGAAGGGTGAGCACGAATGCCCTGGGGGCCGCCTGCCTGCCGTTGTAGGAACAGCAGGCCTGTGCCTGTGCAGAGCAGGCGGGCTGGCTTAGGAGAGTCGGGATCCTGCGGTGAGCATCCCTGGTCGCCATGGACTCTGGCTTTTTATCGGGAGTGTGACAGCAACAGCAGGGACAGCATCTAACTCGGTTTGCACTGGGGACCCTGGCTACCGTAGGAGAGGAGACCAGAGTGGGCAAAGACCAGAAGCTGGGAGACCAGGGAGGAGGCCGTTAAGGAACCAGGCAAGAGATGGCTTGGACCAGGGTGGCCACAGCGGAGGGGGGTGACAGAGGAGGGTGAATTCGGAACCGATTTTGGAGGTGGAGCTAACACAATTTGCAAAGGGCTTGATGGAAACAGGAAGAGGATGATTCTGAGGGTTTAGCCTGAGCAAAGTGAGAAATGGAAAAGGGCAGAGGAGGCTGGGGAGGACGAGAGAGGCTGGGGGCGGGAGGTGGAGGGGGAGATTCGGTTTGGATAAGGCAGTTCCATCGATCTTCTGGACAACCACAGGCATGTCACCAGGGAAATCTGGGCGGGAGCTGGGAACACATGAACTTGGACTGGGTCCCTCTGGGAGTGAGGAAGGCCCTGCCCCAAGGTTGAGGCAGCCAATCCGTCACTTAACCACTCACTCACCGAACACGTAAGCAGCACCTGGACCCCATGCCAGGCTCTGGGGAGATCACAGGAAATGAAACAGATACATGTCCTGACCTGAAGCTACTTACACTCAAGAAAGAGGAGGAGAGAATCATCAGATCTGACTTGGGGAGCCGCGTGTGAAAGGACAGGCTGGGGAGACAGAACATCCGGTGAAGCTGGAGGGGGATCCGGCCAGTGGTCTGGGGAACCCCAAGATCAGAGCAGATCTGGGAAGGAGGGAGGGACGGTATCATGATTACGGTCACACTGGGGAAAGGCAAGCACTGAGAAGTGACCTCTGGATTTTCATTTTAGGCAAGTCATTGGTGACCTTGCCAAAAAAAGCAATTTTAGCATGAGATGGGAGGATGGGAATAGGACGGAAGTGGCTCCCAGAGAGAGGAGGGCCAGTTAGTGTGGAAAATGCTCCCCAGCCTCGCTGAAAAGGTTTGGGAACAAATGAAACAGTGGCTAGGGAGGGATGAGGGGTCAAGAAGGGAGAAATCACAGCTTTGCATAAGTTGCTGGGTGAGATCTGAAGGAGAGGGAAACACGGACTGTGGACAAAGAGGAGAGAGGGAGGGACAGAGCGGCCAACAGGGAGGGGATGGGCTCTAGCCAGGCATTGGGGGCCCGGGCTTCCCCAGCTGCAGCTTAGCCCCAGCAGCAGAGAGAAGGCTTGGAGGCTGGAGGGGGATGGGTACAGGTGGAAACACAGGCTGCCACTTACTAGGTGAGGGGCCCTGAGACAAGTGCCGTATCTCTTCGAGGCTATGTCGTCTTCTCCAAAATGGAAATCCTTACACTGTGTAACATGGTTGTGGGGATTTAAGGAGACGATGACAAGATGTTAATAGAGTTCAGCATGTGCGAAGAGTTCACGGACTTGGGGACTGCTCAAAGCAACGGAATTACATACTGGTTCTTTCTGGTAGCATGGAGGGCAGAGCTGAGAGTGGTGGGGAGGGGAGCATCAGGACAGTGAGGCCTGACGTGGGTTGGCCCTTTCAGAAAGCAGGCACGATCCGAGCCCCACGGCCGTGAAAGAGTAGGCCAGGAGGACTTATCAGTCCGGGACAAGCTGAGCCCCCTTAGCACTCCAAACCCAGGGCTGGCCCCCTCCGTGCTGGGGGCCCAAGCCCCTCTGCTTCTCCAGCTCCCGTCCCGTCCCCCATACTTGTGCGTGTATGCGTACAAGCACAAACCTTCTCCAGAGGATGGGCCTGGGTGCTTTTCTCTTGTTAAGTCTTGTTTCTGATCAGCAACTCTGAAAATGTCACTGCCACATGACAAGCGAGGGCAGCCACTATCCACCCTTCTTTCAGTAAATCTTTACGGAGGGCTTTCTTTGTGCCAGGCCCCACATCGGGTGCTGAGGATCCAACAGTCAACAAAACAAAGACCCTGTCCTTTGTGAAGCTCACACAGGCTCACACTCATGAGCACAGGCATGCACGCACACGCACACCTTTTCCCTTGGTCCAGCCTGGAAGCATACTGAGCCTGGTCGAGGCGTCCTAAGAGCCAGCTCTCTAGGTCTTACACAGACACTAGCAAGTCTAAGAGGCTCTTTTTCCTCATCATTTGTGAGTGGGGTCCTCAAGCCTCACCCTTCTCTCCTGGCTTGAACGCCTCCCCACCCTCACCCTGCAAGGCCCGTGGAAAGTTCCAGAAAGTCTTCTCTGCTTCACATTCCTATCCATCAGCTCAGCTGACCACACCACAGTGACCTTTCCCAACTTCTAAATCCTTGACTTTCAAGCTTTTTTAAAGTGACAGAATCTTTACTCAAAATCTTCCAAGAACTTCAATTCATAAAACAACTCAACGTGAAGACATTCTGGTTGAAGCCTCACATGGTTTCGAGAAATCTGTCCGAGCTCTGCGATCCTGAAACAGTCTGTGACCTCCACTCTGGGGCCTTTGCTCTGCACAGAACTATGGTGGCTGCGTCCCTACCTCTGACCTGTACCCCCAAAGAAACAGTTTCTTGGGGACAAAGACACTCTGTCCTCACTCATGTCATCTTCCAGAGTGCTTGCCTCAGGGCTGAGCTGCTGTGGGTTCCCTAGATCCTGCCACCCACCAAGAAAAACCCTCTCATGTCAATCAGATGGGGGAACCCAACGGCTTCAGACTCCACCCACACACCCCAAAGGAACCTGTGACCTTGGGGACTCCCTTCTCAGCTACTCACCACTCCAGGGAGGTGGAATTTGGGCACAGGGTATCCCGGGACTCAAAATGAAGGCTCCCTTTCGAGAATGAAATCAGAAGACCCATTAAACAGTGGGAACGGCGAGCCATTTAGAGCAGGGCTCCACCGCAGAGAATGAGGAGGCTCGGGGAACGCTCAAGTCCCAGCAGAGTGCACAGTCTCGGGGAGGCAGGACTGGAATGTGGCTCAAGCTGAAACTTGAGACAGTTAAAACCATGACCTATGTGAATGCCTGACGCCTGCCTCAAGACGAGGAAAAGCGGAGCCTGGTTTGGTAAAATATAATTGAGTGAGGGGTGCCTGGTGGCTCGGTCATTTAGTGTCTGCCTTCGGTTTGGGTCGTGATCCCGGGGTCCTGGGATAGAGCCCTGAGCCAGGCTCCCTGCTCAGCGGGAAGCCTGCTTCTCCTTCTCCCACTCCCCCTGCTGGTGTTCCCTCCCTCGCTGTCTCTCTCTCTCTGTCAAATAAATAAAATCTTAAAAAAAAAAAATACATTAAGCAAAAGTGCGCGTGCGCATAACATGCACACCCTGAGCTTTGCAGAAGGTCTCGAGGATACAAACTGGACTGTTAACAGCTCACAGCTGGGGAGTGGGGAGGGGAGGGCAGGGGGAGAGGCACATCTGCTTTTCTCTTTATGCAAAAAGCCCACCTTCTCTGAGAGCCCTGCTCTGGGGAGCCCCCGTCTTCTCTCGCGCTATCTTTCCCTGGGCTCTAACTCCAGATGCACATTTCAGACAGGCCCGGACAAGGTGCTGTGGGTCACTCGGTCACTCCTTCAAGAGCCATTTCCCGAGCCCAAGATGCCTGCCCCAGAGAGCTGAAGAAACCAGGCTCAGCCTCTGCCCTCCCAGAAAGCATTCTGGTCTAAACTGAATTCTGCCACGGCTTCACTCTGTGACTTTTGCCTAAAAATGTCCACGGCCTCATCCCCAGGATCTGTGACTGCGGTATGTCACACGGCAAGGAAGAATTAAGGCTACACGTGGAATTAATGTTGCTGATTAATCAGCCAACTTTAAACTGAATAGATGGTTCTGGATGATCTGGGCGGGATCCACGTACTCCCCAGTCCCAGTGGGGAAGAGGGAGGCAGAAGATCAGGCCGAACCTCAGAAGGACTCTCCTGGCGGCCACGGGCTTTGAAGACGGAAGGAGACCGAAAGCCAAGGACTGCACACACCTTCTAAGAAGCTGGCAGGACGGGCGCCTGGATGGCTCAGTTAGTTAAGCATCTGCCTTCGGCTCAGGTCATGCTCCCAGGGTCCTGGGATCGAGTCCCACATTGGGCTCCCTGCTCAGTGGGAAGCCTGCTTCTCCCTTTCCCTCTGCCTGACGCTTCCCCCTGCTTCTGCTCTGTCTCTGCCAAACAAAGTCTTTGCCCCCCGAGCCTCCAGAAAGGAACACGACCCTGCCGACACCCAGTTCTTAACTTAGTGAGGCCCGTTCCTGACCTCTGGAACTGAAAAGGAATAAAGCACGTTCTCATAAACCACGAGTAGGTTGTTACAGCGGCCACAGGAAACGAATACGAGGACCAAGGGAAGGAGGAACCAGCTCTGAGACTCAGCCTTCCCACTTCCATCTCCCCTGTGGAAAACAGACTTTCCTAAGGGCCTGATGAACCACGTATAGAAGTTTCTGGAAATCGGTTACACATGATACAAGCGCTTACTGCTATCATTAGACAAGTCACTGGACTGCTCTCTGCGCGGAGGTGCGTGTTGAGTTCCACATGGGTCCGTTCAGGGCCTTGCTCCAACAGGGTGAGCGGAGCACCACAGGCCCCGGGGGGGAGCAGCCTTAAGTGTGGTGTTGGGTGTCTGGCCTGGGGGAGCACTGGCCTAGCCCAACCTGACGATCACTTCCAGGACACTCCCAAGGAGCTAGTTCAGCTTTCTGGCCAGTCCTGTCATTCCAGTCTGCCTGTCCTTGGCCCGGTCCCTCAGGAGACCCGAGTGCTGACCACCTCGACACCCAGGGCCCTGCTACAGAGCGGTCTCGAGGAGGCCCGAGCCCCAGGACGCAGCCTGCCTGACCCTCCCCTGTCATCCCCTCTCGGGAGCTCACCTGGAGAGGGGCTTTCCGGCTGGGGAAGGCCTCCTTCTGCAGCTCTCCCCTCTTTGGGTGAGTCCTTGCTGTCTGAGGCCCTGAGCTGGGTGTGGGAGAAGAGCTGGAGGACGAAGCCCGGTGGGAAGCTGCCGTCGGTGAAGTGTCGGACCTCAGTGGGGGCTGCGAAAGTCTCTGTGGGTGAGTCGGGGGATGGGGGGTCTGGAAGGAGAGACAGGAAGGAACTGTGAGTCCGGGAGGTGGAGCGGTCTATCCTCACTGAAGCCAGAATCCAAAGGCCTAGACCATCTCCCTCCCCTGCTTGGCTCTTCCTCTTGGAGCGCTGCGGCCAGAGCCTATGTCCACACCTGCACGGGGCCCTCCTCTCACCTGGGTCGGGGTCCGGGTCCAGGTCCAAGTTTTTGGTCATGGGTCTGCCTCTTTTCTTTCTGACCGGCTCTTCCCCAGGGGGCTCCTTCCATCTCTGACCACGGGGCTTCCTACTTCCTGGCTCTGAGACAGGGGCGGCTGCAGAACGAGAAGACCCCAGACCTTTTAAAGGGTCCACACCTGAGCCCCGCAGCCGCTCTCCGCAGAGAACGCAGGTGCGTGCTCCCTCTCCCCGGCTCAGCCTGAAGGGCTTCCCCAAGACTGACCAGGAAGCTCGAGGGGGCGGAGGCCCCTGGGCCGGCTCCTTTTCGGGAGACACGGGTTTTCCTCGGAGTCGAGGAGAACGACGATCTCTGCCGGCATCCTGGCAGGGTCTGGCTCGGAGTCCGGGTCAGCTTCGACATCCTGGCCTGAGTCTGGACAGGGGGCACGCCCAGTAAGCTCCAAATGCTCTGCGGGGCCAACTCCCCCCCCACCCCCGCCAACCCCACGGTTCCAACTACCTGAGGTTGGTGAAGAAGGCTGCTCGGCTCTGACGTCCTGCAAAAGGGCCACTCCCTCACTCCAGGCCTCCAGGATGTTGCTTTTCTCCGAAAGGCTCAGGTCCAGGGTGTGAGGGTGCTGCTCCAGGATGTGTGTGCGCGCCGTGTCCGCCGAGGGGGCCCGGATCTCCGCCCCACACACCATGCACAGTGCCCGCCCACTGCCTCCTGGGCTGTTTCCCACCAGGAACTCCTGCTCCCAAGACACCTGCTGCTTGGGCTCCTCACAGCCTTCGCCACTTGCCTCCAGCAGGCTGGGCCTGGGCGGGGGCGTCTTCTCCTGCGGGGCCACTGCAGAGGGAGATGTGCAGGAGGCGTTAGCAGGAAAGGTACCTGTGGCCTAGAAGACCTACAACATGGTTCCCCAAACTTGGTGGAGTCTGGGGGGCGGAGGGAGGAACATTCCCACCCGAAGTCTTTCTCTCCCTTCCCCTGCTGCCCATGACACTGACCTTAACCTTATTAAAGACCATAACCTTATAAAACTTGCCCTGGGTGCCTCTGCATCCCGCTCTCTCCCTGCCTCTCTGCTCGCCGTCTGGGCTCCGACCACAGGTCCCTGGGCTTTTCCAACAGGCTGTTCTTGCAGGTCTTCAGCCTTGACACATCTGTCCAGACCACCCTGATGAGTCCGACGATTTCCTTTACTCCTGGGAAGCCTTCCTGACCTCCCACCCCTGGTGGCGGATTAGATCTACACCTGACATCCAGGCCGCACTGTGTCCTTTCTTGAGAACAAGAATGGTCCGTCTGATCTATTGTTCCTACAGGGCCTGGTACACAGGAGATGCACGGTGGGCCTTCTGTCCTCGAATGACGGGGCATGCCAGCTTCTCCACTCGGTCAGGCCCCTTCAATAGGCCACCACACCCCGTCAGAACCCCTTTCCCATCTCCCAGAGCATGCACAGGTGTAATCTTGCGCCCAAGGGTCTGCCTGGCATCTGCTTTGTGCGCATGGACCACAAGCTCGACAAAGAAGGCAGGCTGAGACCCACGTCAGCCTGTCTCTACGATTTCTCACGGCCACACCTTTTTCTCACCTGAGAAGATGGGATGAAATAAAATATGGGCGATCCTAACGCCTAGGGACTGTACAGGGAGGTGGCATTTGAAGTGGGTCTGAGAACTGGCCAGGATTCAGAAGATCCAGGTCCAAGGTTGGGCCGTACCCATCTCCCACATGACTGGGAACCTTGACCTCTTGGTTGCCATTGGGCTCTCTTTCCCACCATTCCTCCAAAACAGCTCTTGCCAAGGTCACCAATGCTAAACCCGGTGGTTAGTTCTTAAACTTCATCATTTGACTCATCACTTCTTCCAGCTTGATTTCTGTCCCTCAGCTTCCAGGCACCACCTCCTGTTGGTTCATCTCTTACTTCCCTGGGGCTCTCTTGGGGTCACGCATGCTGGCTCCTCTCCTCCCTTCCCAAGGCTCTCTCACTTCTTTCAGGGCATAGCTGAAGAACCATCCTCTCGAGACGGCCTTCTCGGCCCCCATGCAGGAAGCTGGGCACCCCATCACCCAACCCCCCCGCCATGTCGTCCCTAGCCCACACTGCCACCAGGTCTAACATGGTGTCACTTATGCAGTGTCTTCCCGCTGTATGACTTTTGATTGTCAACACCTGGACCCCCAGACTCTAGAACAGTGCCTGGCAGGTGGTGGCATGCAGAAAATCTCTGATGAGGGACTGACTGACTGCATCTCCAACCTGTAGTCGCCGGAGAGTGCTCTGTATCTCCTGTCTTGGACCCCTTCTGTCTACCTCCCTGCTCTGACAGTCTCTTCCCATTGCCTGCCTGCTGATGACTTCCTTATTTGTACCTCCGGCCAGACTCAAGGCATCTAAACGCACGTGTCTGATGCCTATCTGGCCATACCACTTGAATGTGTCACAGGCCTACATCTTAGCCTTCCTGTCTTTGCACATGGGAGGCCCGTCCTTCTCGGTGCTCAGGCCAAAGACTTTGAATTCGTCCTTTCTCCTCTTAACCCAAATCTTTCAAAAAGCTTCTGCTTTAAGACATGTGTACTTGCTATCCTCTCTGCCTAAAGTGCTTTCCCTCCCTCCCACTGTCCGCAAGGTTCATTCCCTCATGTCCTTTGGGTCTGTGCTCAAGATTCACATTAGAGAAGCCTTTCCCGACTGCTTGATTATTCCAAATAAAACACCCCCATTCTCTTTTCTCCTCCCTTTGCTCTGGTGTTCTCTGAACCACTTATGGGCACCTGACACCCTATGCATTTAATTATGTTTGTCTTGGGTCATTCATTTATATATTCCAGAAGGGGTGTTTCTTTCATATCTGCTCATAGTCATTAGCGTGCCCAGTCTTAAACTGCCTGGCTTACAGTAGGTGCCTAATAAAGACCTACTGAATGAATTAACTTCTCTGGACTTCTATTTCCTCATACCTGACAGTGGGGAACAGGGCCTCTCTTGCAGGGTTGTTGAGAGGATGAACTGAGACAGCTTGGCCTCCAGCCCTCAGTAAACACTAGCACAAGCAGGGAAAGAACCTCTGGTGGATGGCAAGCTCTGCGATAAAGGGTAGCTGCCTTTATTTCCCTGACTTGTTTTATAACCCTCCAGAATCCAAAAAAGGACGAGAGAGGCGGTGGGGGGGAGACAGCATGTGATGCTGAGGTTAAATAAATGGTCTTGCTCTCAACCTCTGTGGTGAACAATCCCCCCTACGGGAAGAGGTATTTGAGAATAAAAACTATATTTGCATTTCCATGAACATTTTTTGGGCATTTTCATGAGTATTAAGTTTCCGACTAAGATGGCCCTTTGTTTTCTAATGGTCTGCAAGATCCTGCGGACTAGAGAAATTGGTAAAGGGGGAGGGGAAATCAAGGGCTCCCAGGTTGCTCCTCGAATCCCTTCCCAAGGCCAATCTCCTTCCTGCGTGGCAGAGGGTACCCCTAGCAAGCGCTTCTCTTCCGAAACTGAGTGTGCTCTGTGCTATCCCATTCACCCCTGAAGCGCTTGAATCTGACACCTGTGGCTTACGCAAGTGGAAGGCCCGGGATGCAAGGGGAGTTGGGGGACAGGAAAGCTTTCTGCGTAGAGGGCCTGAAAATCCTCCTCTTGGCGGGCGGCATCCTCGGATCTCTCCGGACACCAGGCTGCGCGCCCGGCCTCGGCCCTGAAGGCCTTGCTGCCCCTCGGCCTAAAACACAGCCTGGCCCCTGCGCCGGCCTCTGGCTCCGCGGGGCGGGAGACCGCGGCCGCCGGTGTGGGGCCCGGGAGTGGGGGCGCTCGGGCACCGGAAGATCCGGAGCGCGCGGGGTGTGGATCGAAGGCTCCAGACCCCGGACGGGGGCGGGAGAGAGGGAATTCGGGGAGGCCCCAGATTCCAAACCCTGGAGGGGGCGGAGCGAGAGCGCGCCCGGGCCCCAGGCCGGAGGGGGAGGGGGCGCCCGGGTCCCAGGCCGGAGGGGGAGGGGGAGCCGGAGCCCCCCGACTGCGGAGGGGGAGGGGGCGCCCGGGCCCGGACCGTGACGCGGAAGTGGGGTCCCCTTCCATCCTCACCTCTGAGCATCGGCTCAGGCCGCGGAATTACGGCCACCACCATGGCCTCCTCCTCGTCCTCCCCTTCCTCGCATTTGAGCGTCACCTCGAAGCAGTCGAGCGCGGCCCCCTCGGCCTTCAGGGCCATGGTGCGGCCGGTGTGTGTGTGCGCGGGGGATATCGCGGTGACCGGACGCCGGAGGCCGGGCGCGCAGCCAGGGGCCGGCTCCCGCCCCGCGCCGCCCCCTCCCCGCCGCCCGCCGCTCACCGCCCGGCCTGCGACGGGCGCGTCCGGGCCTCCCCGAGACCGAGCGCGTCGGGACCCCGGGCGGGGAGGGCTCAATCCGGGGCCCCAGGCCCCCGCCGCTCCCTTTTATGGAGGCTCATTGTCGGCGCCCTCCCGGACGGCCCGCCGCGGGCCCGCCCCCGACCCCGCGCGGCCAATCGCGCGTGGCCCCGCCCCGGGCACGCGGCTCCGTTAGCCGCCCGGGGACCCGCAGGGCGGCGGGGAGGGCCGCGGGCTCCCAGGCGGCCTGCGGCGCGGAGGCGGGCGTTGCCGGCGGGTGGAGAGGACCCCGGACCCCGCGGGCTGGGGGGCGTCGTCCCTCGAGCTGCGGATCGGGCCCGTTGGCGGGCGTCGAGAGCGCTGCCAGGTGCCCTGGGGTTTTGTTGGGGGTCGCCTTTGCGTTCCCCAAACGAGCCTTCAGCCGCCAGAAGATGCCCCGGGCGGGAAAGGATCCGGCGGGGCAGCGAGAAGGGCCTTGGCGTGGGAATGGGGGAGACGGAATTCCTTCTGAATTTTGCCAGCTCTGTGACCTTGGGCACGTTATCTGTTTTCTTAGACGACCTCTTCCTTTCTCAGAAGACATTGTGGATGCTTCTGGACAAGGGGATGCGGAAGATGGAAGAGCCAAGTGTTGTGTGGGCACACGCAAACCACCCCCGATGGTTTTGATTTCCATATATTAAAACGTGAGTCTAGAGATTGTGCACCTCCCCAGGGGCACACAAATTCTTGAGAGCCCCAAGACCGGAGTCCAGTTGCCATGACACTGCTTCGCCACCATCCCACTCAGGTTGAGCTTTTACTTCTGTGACACAGAATGGGCATCCCCCCTCTGCTACAGAAGCTCTCCTGAGATGTCGGTTGAGAAAATGTCTGACACTGGAAATCCATCTTAAAATGCTACCATATCAGACCAGACACAGGAGTAATTCAGAATAACGTATGTAGTGGGTTGGGGGCTGGAGAGCAGATGGGAACTAATTTATCTGCATTACCGTGGGTCTTTAAGTGAATAATTTTGTTACTTTCAAGTGTACCCCGTACTTTTAAAGGTTTTACAAATAAAGGTATTACCAAGCCGTTTTCAATCATTTCTATCTCTCGATCACCTGGTAAGCTGTGCAGGAATCCCTTCCTTGAACTTCTGCTCTCCTCTCTACTGTCTTGCATGGGTCCAGATCCTCAGGCTCCCAGGACTGGGGCCATCAGGTGTGGGTTTGGCCCATGGGAGCCAGTGGCAGGAGACTGGAAGATAGCAGGAAGGATAAAGCCAGTGTGTTTCTTCTCTTTCTCTTGTTTGCTCGGGCTTGGGCAGGTCTCTAGCAGGAGATAAAACTCCTCTGTGGTCCCAACGTCTGGGGGATGATCCTCACTTCCAGGCTATGTTAATTCCATCTCCTCCATTTGTCCCTCCAGTTTAGGAGTGGTGGGGAGTGCCCTGTGTTTCCCTCTCTGTCCCCTGTTGGGGACTACTCAGCCCTTCCATCACCCTTGTCACCAGCGTCATGAACACCCTGCATTAAATTCTTTGTTTTACATACCTAGAATGGTTCCTCTTACCCCGTTGGACTCTAAGTGATACACCCAATATTATACCAGGCAGTTTGTCCTCACAAGTCTTATGTGGTAGACTGTATTGTTCCCATTTTCCAGAATAGGAAGTTGAAGCTTAAAGGGGTAAACTACTTGCCCAAGGTAATACACCAAGAATCCTATTTCATCAAATCTAAGATGACCATTTTTTCTACATTTTAACATCTTTGGAATGGGGATGCTTTCTATACTGGACATCACTACGAAGTTTTAGGAATACCAAGAACGTTTAAGATTACCCCTCTGATATTCAGACCGTGATGTTACCAGCAGAAATAAATCCCGTTCAGAATGAGACATCGGTGAGGCCCCTTGGCGACCGCAAAGTTGACTTTCAGTAGTTGCTTTCTTACCGTAGATAACTCCAGCCCTGTTTGTGTCCTCCTGCCTCCTAGATGAACTAGTTAGGACTATATATAACCCAGTCTTTAAGTTGCCCCTGCTTTTTGACAGCTTTCAATTCAGAACTGGTCCCACACTTTCCTAATCCCTCTACGGAACCGCGGAATGCAAACCCGTATTTAAAGAGACTTATATGAGGGTTTCCCTAGGGTACATTCTCCTTTACAGAAGCAAATTAAATAAACCTAACCTTTTTTGACAACAGCTGTGTCCCTGGTGGTCTTCGGTCAGAGGGCTTTGACAACCTTAGCCAATTTATTTTGCATTCATTTTTATGTATATGAAGAGTGATATATAGGAATAGACATTTTTCCAAAAAAGACATCCAGATGTCCAAAAGACACGTGAAGGTGCTAAGCATCCCTCATCATCCGGGAAATACAAATCAAAACCATGATGAGATAGCACTTCATACCTGTCAGAATGGCTAAAATTAACAACACAGGAAACAACAGATGTTGGTGAGGATGTAGAGAAAGGGGAAACCTCTTGCATTGTTGGTGGGAATGCAAAATGGTGCAGCCACTCTGGAAAGCAGGAGGTTCCTCAAAAAGTTAAAAATAGAACTACCGTGGGACCCAGCAACTGCAATTCTAGGTATTTGCCAAAGGGTATAAAAATTGATTCAATGGGGCACACACACTCCAATGTTTATAACGGCATTGTCAACAATAGTCAAATTACGTAGAGTCCAAATGTCCATTGACTGATGAATGGATAAAAAAGATCTGCAGGGCACCTGGGTGGCTCAGTGGGTTAAAGCCTCTGCCTTCGGCTCAGGTCATGATCCCAGAGTCCTGGGATCAAGCCCTGCATCGGGCTCCCTGCTCAGCAGGAAGCCTGCCTTCTCCTCTCTCTCTGCCAGCCTCTCTGCCTACTTGTGATCTCTCTTGCTCTGTCAAATAAATAAATAAAATCTTAAAAAAAAAAAAGAGGATGGATGTGTGGCTTTGTTTCTAACTTGCTTGTCATTTTGTAGTGATCTTCAGCAAAAGCCATAATAAATATCTGTCCATGCTCTTTGGCTCAGTAATTCGATTGCCAACTGGGCACCTGGGGGGCTCAGTCAGTTAAGTGTCTGACTCTTGATCTCAGCTTAGGTTTTGATCTCAGGGTCATGAGTTCAAGCCCTGGATTGGGCTCCCAGTGTAGAACCTGATGAAAAGGAAAAAAAAAAAAAAAAAGAGTTACCCTGAAGTCATCTGAAGTCATCCAAAAGGAGAAGAATAATGACCCAACATGGATATCAGAACAGTGTTTGCCGCTTGAACTACTCATTCCCTGAAACTTAGTATACTTTCACTCCTAGGTGCTGGGTGAAGTGTTACTCAGTTCTTGCACGTAGTCAGATGTCCCCTTCTCTTGGCTCTTGACTCAGTTGGGACAGCTATCCTAGGACCCTGGGCATAGCACACTCTGATGATTTGTTTGCGTGTCCCAGTCCCCTGTGGTCTCCGGGCTCCTAGAGGGCAGGTCCATTTTTTCTGTCCATCTTTCTAGTTCCAGCATTGGCTCAGGGGCTGGGCTGTTAGCACAGGCTTGGTCCCTGCACTTCAGGGCTCTCATTGCAAAAAATGTCAACTCAGCGTAGCTCAGGCAAAATGGGGGATTTGTTGACTTGTGGATTTCAAGGAAGCACTGAACGCCCAGGGACCCAGGCAGACTCTGGGAATAACGGGACCCAAGACACAAATGCCACGAAAACATTCTTTTCATCTGTGGTCTCTGCCTCTTTCTGCATAGAAGCCTTATTTTCTCCATGTCGGTGGGCTTTTCCCACGTAGCAGGCAATGTGGCCGTTCCTTCCCTAGACTAGCTTCTAGCTCTGTATACTTTGAACATTGTTTCTCCTCCACTGCCCGTGAGTATGAAGCCCAGCTTCCGGGGCTGGGCTCTGTATGACACACTCGTATCACCAAGTGACGTCTGGCCCTGCGCTTTGGTGCCAGAAAATGAGCCGAAACAGCTTAGTGGGCAGCAGGAGAATTTGGAAACCATTCCTACTGAGGACAACTATCGATCCCTGTATCTGAGAAATGGCTCCAAACAATGTAAATTTACATAAACTGCTCCACATAAAACTACATAATCTACATAAAACTATGTAAACTGCTCTTACTGAACCGCTTAATTACTACCGAACTCAACAGCTGGAAAATGCCAGCACCTGGCCCACCTCCGCTCCATAGGAAGGGAAGAATGGTGGAAAAGAAGGCAAAACCAAAAAAACAATCAAAAGCCCCAGCCAATCAATGCCATAAGAATTTCTGGGATGAATGAATGTAACAGTAAAAAACTAGCACTAACCCTAGCGTCTAACAGGACCTGGCTGACAAATGATGGTGTGTTAGCACCAAAAAGAATATACAGATTGTAACAACACGGGAAAGCATTTATGAAATACAGTTAAGTGTACAAACCCACAAACAAGTATGTGATGCTTATGCCGAAGCAAAAAAAATTGAATAACATTGATACAGATCGGAAGTAAACATGAGAAATGGAAATAAATGTGTCATGATAACTGAATTATTGGTGAAAAATGTTTATGACCATAAACATTTACACATTACACATTAGTACCATAAGAATCATAGGAACATTAGAAATAATGATCTAGGATGGCTGAGTGGCTCAGTCAGTTAAGTGTCTGGCTTTGGATCTCAGTTCAGGTCATGATTTCACACAGGGTCATGGGATCAAGCCCCAGGTTGGGCTCTGTCCTGGGCACGGAGCCTGCTTAAGAGTCTCTCTCTCTGCCCCTCTCCACCCCTGGTCGCTTGCTCTCTCTTGCTCTCAAAAATTTTTTGAAAAATGATCTATTAGGGTACTTGGGTGGCTCAGTGGGTTAAGCCTCTGCATTCGGCTCAGGTCATGATCTCAGTGTCCTGGGATGGAGGCCCGCATCGTTCCTCCTCTCTCTCTCTCTGCCTTTCTCTCTGCCTACTTGTGATCTCTGTCAAATAAATAAAATCTTAAAAAAAAAAGATCTATTAAAAAAATATTTCATTTATTTAACAGAGAGAAAGAGGGAACACAAGTAGGGGGAGTGGGAGAGGGAGAAGCAGACTTCCTGCTGAGCAGGGAGCCAGATATGGGGCCCGATCCCAGGGTCTTGGGATCATGACCTGAGCTGAAGGCAGGTGCTTAATGACCCAGCCCCCCAGGCGCCTGGTGATTTCTTTCTTTGTTTTTGTATAGAATGGTATTCTTGAAATTTTAACTGACAATAGAGATTACAAAACAGTATGTATGTCATGATCCTGATTATGTTAAATACAGCATCAGTGTGATTAATTTATATGTAAGAAATTATATAAGAATGAACATGAAGGGGCGCCTGGGTGACTCAGTGGGTTAAGCCTCTGCCTTCGGTTCAGGTCAAGATCTCAGGGTCCTGGGATGGAGCCCGAGCCCTGAATTGGGCTCTCTGCTCAGCAGGGAGCCTGCTTCCCTTCCTCTCTCTCTGCCTGCCTCTCTGCCTACTTGTGATCTCTGTATGTCAAATAAATAAACAAAATCTTAAAAAAAAAAAAGAATGAACATGAAGCTATTAACATTGTCTAACCCTGAATGGTGGGATTCTGGCTAATTTTTACATTTTTCATTTTACAGTTTTACAAGTTTTCTGTATTGTCTGATATTTTTACTTTTATAATCATAATTTTAAGTAATTTCTATTAAAGAAAAAATGATCCCCATGCCACAGACATTAGACAAATGTCTCATAAAGCAGGAATGGCAAGTATGTGGCCCAGTAGCTGTGGTAGATTGGCTTGTTTTCAACTATTCCACTCCCCCTGTAATAAGATTACACGTCCAGCCCCATTACCTTGAGAATTTTCAGTGCCTCTTACTAGGCATTGAATATTTTCCCATCCCACTGACTTTGGGCTAGGCAGTGTGACTTGTCTTGGCGGATAGAGCGTGAGCAGCGTTGAAGTAAGCTGTATCTTGGATGAGGCTTTATGGATATTTACATGGTGTGGCTTGGCCTCTCATTATGCTGTACACCATGACAAGAGCTTGCCCCGGGGTGACGCAGGTCCTTCAGCCTGGGTCCGTGCATGGTAGACACCCAAGTCCCCCTGAGCCCAGCTGGCCTACAAGAGGCACAGTCCACCCACAGATGGGTAAGCAAGAAATAAACGTTTTTCTCCCTACACAGCATGGTTACAACAAGCCTATAGTCCAGGCCCTCTGTTCTCTCCCCAACCTCCTTGTTCTTCTTCTTCTTATTTTTTTTCCAAAGATTTTATTTATTTATTTGACAGAAAGAGATCACAAGTAGGCAGAGAGGCAGGCAGAGAGAGAGGGGAAAGCAAGCTCCCCGCTGAGCAGAAAGCCTGATGCGGGGCTCGATCCCAGGACCCCGGGATCATGACCTGAGCTGAAGGCAGAGGCTTTAACCCACTGAGCCACCCAGGCACCCCTAATTTTTTAATGTTATATGGCTGCCAGTGGCGTGAGGGGGACAAACCCTCCTGGTTGGCCCAAGTGACAGAGAGATTTCCTGGGACATGGGGCTTTCAGGTTATTTATTTATTTTTTAAAAAGATTTATTTAATAGAGAAGCCACTCCTGGGCCCGATCCCAGGATCGCAGGTTCATGATCTGAGCCGAAATCAAGAGTCCCTCGCTCAACTGACTGAGCCACCTACGTGTCCTGCAATAAAGTTATTTTTTTTTTAAAGATTTTATTCATTTATTTGACAGAGAGAGACAGCGAGAGGGAACACAAGCAGGGGGAGTGGGAGAGGGAGAAGCAGGCTCCCCACCAAGCAGTGAGCCCGATGCGGGGCTTGATCCCAGAACCCTGGGATCATGACCTGAGTGGAAGGCAGACACTTACCGACTGAGCCACCCAAGTGCCCCCAATTTTTTTAAGTAGACTCCATGCCCAAAGTGAGGCTTGAACTCACACCCCTGAGATCAAGAATCACATGCTCTACCCAACTGAGCCATCCAGGCACCCCTCAATAAAGCTATTTTTTAATAACCTGAAAGGCAAGGGCGCCTAAGTGGCTCAGTCTGCTGAGTAACAGACTGCTGATTTTGGCTGGGGCCATGGTCTGGGGGTAGGGATGTCAAATGCCACCCGCCCCCGACATGGGGATCCATGCTGGGCATGAGTTCTGCTTAAAAGTCTCTTTCTCCTTCTGCCTCTCCCAACTTCTCTCTCAAAAGGCAATAAATAAATAACAACAGCTTTATTGAGATTGAATTTATATTCCATACAATTCACTCATCTAAAGCATCCAGTTCCTTGTGCAATCCACATCACTACAATGTGATTTTGGAACATTTTCTTTCCTCCTAAAGGAAACCCCGTACCCATTAGCAGTCCCAACTCATTTTCCCCAGCGCCACTCCCATCCTCTAGCAACTGCTTCCCCGTCTACTTTCTGTCTCTATACATTTGCATATTCTGGGCATTTCATATAAATGGAATCATACAATATGGCCTTTTGTAATTGGCTTTTAATGACCATAATACCTCCCAAGTTCACTCTTGCAACATGTATTGGTACTTCATTTCCTTTTATTGCTGGACGATATTCAATTGTACGCACACACCACATTTTATTTATCCATTCATCAGCGATGGACATTCGGGTCGTTTCCATCTTTTGGTTATTGTGAATAGCGCTGCTGTGAACATATATGTACAAGTCTTTGTCTGGACACCTGTCTTTGGTTCTTCAGGGTGTATACCTAGGAGTGGAACTGCTGGGTCACTGCCTACTTCTATGTTCAGCTTTTTGAGGAATTGCCAACATGGTCTTCCACAGCGGCTGCGTCCCGCGTTGCTAGCAGCAATGCAAGAGGGACCCAGCTTCTCCATAACCTTGCCCACCCTGGTCATTGCCCATTGTTTCTATTAGAGCTGTCCTGCTAGAGGCTCAGGGGTCTATCAATCACACAGCTGATTCCACGAATCCTCTTGTAATGGATTGGACTTAATGGAATTTTCCTGAGACTTCCGGAAGCTCACTTTCCAGGAGCTCTCTCTGTGCGCTACTTCAAATCTTCTCAACCGTGTCTCTTTTTCCGTTTTTTTTTTAATTTATTTTTATTTAAAAAATTTATTATTATTATCATTACTATTTTTTCTTTTTCAAGTTCTCTGCGGGCTTTGCCAACTTTGTGTAGGTACAACCCCATGGCCCCTCTTCCACACCTTGTAGCTTTCACACTTTGTACCTTCCACTTTTTGTTCTGGGGTTTCTCCCGACAGCTCAGCACAGGGAGCCTGTGGGAACGTACTCAGCACTAACACACGTGCATCCTAAAAGTGAGTGGCCTGTGGAGCTGTCGTGAACCAATAGGGACCAGGGTTAACCAATGAATGAATGTGTTTCCCCAAAGGGTACCAAAAGGCAGTTTGAAGGATGCTGAACAGGTATAAATAACGGCTTCTACTCTCTCTCCAAAACCAGAATCTATAGAAGGATTCCAGGAATCTATATTTATAACAAGCCCTAGAGGTGATTCCTACGCATGCTAAAAAATTTGCAAAACACTGAATTAGGCTGTTTTCAGAAGGAATTTACATTATAAAAGGAGCAATGATTATAATTCTGACTCCCCTGCACATTCCCTGGTGTCACGCAGAAAAGCACCAGAGGACTTGAGGCTTCTTTCCATCTTCATCCTCATGGATGCTTCTCTTCTGACTGCTTTCTGGTTCTCAGGTTCACCCTGCATGTGAACGTGAACTTCCTTCTTAGCCTCTAAATAAGACAACTCTTCTCTTCCTAAGGACGACTCCACCCCTTTCCACAGGAGGAGATTTTGCTTCTGTGTTCCTTCCTGCATCCTGTTGTCTAGAGTGGGTCCTGGGCTTTAGCTGGAAGGTCACTGATGTTCACTTCCTGCCGGGCCAGCAAGCTCTGGGTGATGAATGGCCTCTAGCACCCAGAGTAAAGATGAACGAGGTGAACCCACCAATTTTAACTCAGTGGAAAGCGTCAAAGCTGCAAAGCCTGCTGATTCCCTTATTAGGTTTCTTCTTAAGTAAGCACATCTTTTACGCCCCACCCCCAAAGTTTCTGGAAACAGTAAGTGTAAAAATATATCTAAAAAGTCATCTTCTTGCCCATTTGCACAGCTCTCAACTTACCTTTTCAGATACTATTCCTTCCTGCACTGCCTGGGTCTTGGTGTTATAAATCCATAATACTTTTTAATGGCCGATTGGTTTACTACCCAGGGGGTGATGCCAACACTCATTAAAGTCTTTTGATTTAGGGTCTACCTCAGATAAAGTTGATAGTGGTGGGATTTGGGATTTGAGGACCAGTATAACGGAGCGGATCTGGCTTTGGTCTGGGCCAGAGGGATGGACTCTGAAATTTCTGTTAATAGGGACCATGTTTTTCTCCTGCTTAAAACCCCTCCCTGGTTCCCAGCTACTCCAGGATAAAGTCCAGACTTATTAGCCTTACATTCCAATCCTACATGATCTGACCCCTGCTTGTTTCCTGTCTCACTTAGGCCTCTCCCACTGCAGATGACAGAAACCAAAGGCCAAACAAAAAATACTGGCCTATGGATCAGAAAGCCTGACTTCAGACATGGCTGGATTCAGGAGCACGCAGGATAGTTTCAGGAATGTCCTTTCTCTCCAACTCCAGGCTCGGTCTTCTGCAGTGGGTTTGTTTTCAGGCAAAATCTAGTATATGGCGGCAAAAACGAACACTGTAGCTGATGTGAAGAACAAAGGCAGAAGAAAAAATAAACGAACTTCTTAAAACTCATAGCCGTTGATAAGTACTTGAGACAGGCAGAGTGACCTTCCTCAAGGAACTTAGCTGCCTAGGGGTGCCTGGGTGGCTCAGCCAGTTAAGCGTTCCACTCTTTTTTTTTTTTTTTTTAAAGATTTTATTTATTTATTTGTCAGAGAAAGAGAGAGAGAGAGCATGCATGAGCACAAGCAGGGAGAGGGGCAGGCAGTGGGAGAAGCAGGCAAGCACCCCAATGCGGGACTAGAATCCAGGACCCTGGGATCATGACCTGAGCCGAGGGTAGATGCTTAAATGACTGAGCCACCCAGGTGTCCCAAGCGCTTGATCCTTGATATCAGGGGCCTGAGTTCAGTCCCCACATGGGGCTCTATACCAGGTGTGGAGCCTACTTAAGGACAAAAGGAGTTCAGCTGCCTCAATATTAACACTTTGCTAGAGGCAAAAGGCAACCTTAGCTTGACATTAAGTCAACTTCTAGGATCCTGTAAAAAACCCTTTGGAAACTTTCTTTACCTTTACACTACCCCAACCCCCCAATATACACATTAGCGATCATCACCACCCTCTAAACATATGTCCCACTGATATACATCTGTAGGGTCTCATGACTGAGGTTTTACTAGGCAGTAGTACATGACCTTTTCCTAACAACAGCTAGCCCTTCAAATCCTGGAAACCTGGAAAGCTTGCTTCCAAATTCTTTGAGGCTTATGCTATCCCTAACTCCCTCCCAACTTGAAAGTATATAATCAGTGACTCCTCACAACGCCAGGGCTGCTCTTCCTGCCTCCCGCTGCTGTCCCCGTGCTTTAATGAAAACCACCCTTTTTGCATCAAAGATGTTTCAAGAATTCTTTCTTGACAGTTCGTTTCAGACCCTAACATTTCACATCAATAGCCATCTCAAGTTTACAATCTGGGATTTTATTAAGCTCAACAGAGAGTAAATGCATCTTGTCCAGGAAATTCCAGAAAAGTTCAGAGGATACCTCCTAAGAATGAGACTTGGTCATATGCCCATCCTTGAAACATCACTGTGACTTTTGTTGTTCCCTCCTGATGCTGGAGGGTGGGGTCATCCTGTCTGAACTACTTTTTTGGGAGTGATGTATGGGAGTTTCCAAAGTGTGTATGGTGTGGCATTACCATAGAAGAGCGATGTGGCATACACCACCACCTGCTTATGAAATAGTTACATCCTTCTTTTTCCTTGCTAATAGAGTCCAAATTCTTTTCAGCAGCAATGTGCTGAGAGAAGGAAAGCCTTATGCTCAGCCTCAGGTGGAGTGTAATTGGTCTAACCCAAGCACAGAATCCCATTTCCTTTGGTTTCTGGTTTATGGGTCTGCATGTGATGGGGCTCTAGCCAATAGATTCTAAAGAACAGTCTGCTGGAGGGCTCTTGGAAGAGTTTTCCTCTCTAAGAAAAGGATATTGTCATGTGGGCATGGGAAACTTGAAAGCTGTGGCAGCCATCTTGGAACCATTAAGAAGAAACAGAGATCCCCAGAAAAGCTAATCCGCCAATCCGCCTTCGTTGAGAAACTGAATTATCCAACCTTAGTGCTCCCTTTAAGACTTTCTTTTAAAGGAAAAAAAAAAAACTGTGCTAAAATATACAGAACATTAAATTCACCATCTTAACCACTTTAAAGCCTATAATTTGGTGGTATTTGGAACATTCACAATGTATGAAACCATCAGCACAATCTAGTTCCAGAATATTTTCATCACCCCAAAAGGAAACCCTTGTACCCATCAAGCAATCACTCCCAATTCTCCTTGCCCCAGCCTCTGGCAACCACTGCTCTATTTTCGGTCTAACTACATCTGCCTATTCTGAATATTTCATATGAATGGAATCATACCATACATGGCCTTTTCTGGCTGGCTTCTCTCATTCAGCATGATGTTTTCAAGACTCATCCATGTTGTAGCATATCTACGATTACTTCTTCCTTCGTTTCTTTCTTTCTTTACTTTTGTTTATTTATTATTTATTTATTTATTTAATTAATTTATTTTTTTTTAAGATTTTATTTATTTATTTGACAGACAGAGATCACAAGTAGACAGAGAGGCAGGCAGAGAGAGAGAGGGAAGCAGGCTCCCTGATGAGCAGAGAGCCTGATGCGGGACTCGATTCCAGGACCCTGAGATCATGACCTGAGCCGAAGGCAGCGGCTTAACCCACTGAGCCACCCAGGCGCCCTATTTATTTAT